GGCAACGTGCAGCGCAACGTGGGCAGCCTCTTCGACCTGGCCCGCATGAGCGTGGCCGAGCTCACGCCCCTCCTCGGCGCCGCCGGCGCGCAGGCCCTCCACCACTTCTTCCACCACCAAAAGTAAGTCTTTATAACAACTTCTCAAGAAGGCGATGACGGTGTGATGTTATGATGGTGTTGTGTTGTTACTGCTATGTTAGCCAAGAAGCTCAACCAATACCGCGGGCGCGGTAACGAGCTCCGGTTCTTGGTTTCTTCTTGACCGGTTGTGTAAAGATTTCATCTTTATTAGAACAGACAGAGACAGACAGAAAAGATGGACGCGAAGGCCAAGCTGCACGAACAGAAGAAGCAGAAGTCGCTCAAGAGGCAGCGTAAGCGAGATGAGGACGCGCACGGCAAGAACAAGCGTGCGAGGATCGGAGATGGAAGCGGAGGCAAGGTGAAGAAGCCCAAGAGCCCCGATTTCCTCGTCAAGTCCTTCCGTCTCGGTGCCAAGGCCTGGGCCGCCGCTGCCGTACCTCCCCCCCAATCCCCCCACCCACCCGCATTCATCTTCTCTTTTTAATCGCAGCGATTTGTCGGAGATGTGCATATTTCTGCGATTTCTGGTTTACGTGATTTTACGCGATTTTGGATTTACGTCAATCATTTATTTACCATTTATTTACTTGTTGAATTGTTGTGGGCTCGAGCAGGATTTGAAGATTCAGGTGAAGATCTTCTCGACCAAGGAGCCGCCGGTGTTCGAGGTGCGCGCGGACCGCAAGGGCAAGGGCCAGCGCGAGCGGCTGGTGGCCGAGCTCGAGGCCATCCCGACCTTCGACTTCGCCGCCGTCGACGAGCTACTGGTCATCACCTGCGCCGTCCCGCGCGACTCGCTCGCGCTCGAGCGCGCCTCTGGTGCGGAAGCGGCCGGCGGGTGGACCGAAGTCCCGCTGGGCGAGGAGGTGCTCGGCAAGAAGAAGGACGACAAGAAGAAGACGACGACGAAGAAGAAGGGCAGCAAGAAGGAGGAGGAGGAGATGGAGGAAGCGGAGGATGGTGGTGATGATGAGCAGAAGATCAACCTCGAGATGCGCATCGCGGGCGACGCGGTCAAGCGCGAAAGAGTGAAGGCCGCCTTCCTGGTGGCTCTGGCCAAGGCCAAGGAGGCCGCTATCAAGGGTACGACACACGACACGCACCCACGCACCGCACACGCCGCACACGATCTGTCTGACTTGTATCGCGCACACAGAGGTCGAGCTGGACAGGGGCTCTGACGATGAGGATGATGAGGACGACGACGACGAAGACGACGATGACGACATCGACGAAGCCGAGGAGGCCTACCTCGAGGCCCTCAAGAACAAGGCCCTCAAGCGGGACGGCAGCGAAGGCGCCGCCGACAGCGGCCTCAGCGGCCGTGGTCGTGGTGGTCGGGG